CAACAAATATGGGAGTGCAGATACCTCTTCAGTATACTGATTTCCTTTCTTTGGGGTTACCTGAGCAGTGGGATTGCTGGATCATATGGTAGCTCAATTTTTATTTTTGGGGTGAATATCCCAACTCATTTTTTTATAGGTTGTACTTTCCCACCAACAGTGTATGAGCTTTCCCTTTTCTCCACATCCTGGCTAGCATTTGTTTTTGCCTGTCTTTTGAATATAAGCTATATTAGGCTGTTCTTGCATTGCTATGAAGAAATACTTGAGACTGGACAAAATATCAAGAAAGGAGATTTAATTGGCTAATGGTTATGCAGGCTGTACAAGCAAGGCACCAACCAGCTTGAAGGGAGAACTCAGGGAGTTTTTACTCATGGCAGAAGACGAAGTGGGAGCAGACACATCACATGGCAAAAGCAGAAGCAAGAGAGCAAGGGGGAAGGTGTTACACACTTTTAAATGACCAGATCTCATGAGAACTCACTCACTATCTCAAGGACACTACCAAGTGGGATGGTACTAAACCATTCATAAAAAATGTGCCCCCGTAATTCAATTAGCTCCTACCAGGCTTCACCTCCAACCCTGGAGGTGGATTATGTTTTAATATGAGATTTTGGTGGAGACACATATCTAAACCATATCCTAAGCCATTTTAACTGGGGTGAGATGATATCTTGTTGTAGTTTTGATTTGCATTTCTCTGATGATCAGTAATGTTGAGGACCTTTTCTAATGCCTGTTTGCCATTTGTATGTCTTTTTAGAGAAATGTGTATTCAAATATTTGGTCATTTTAAAAAATTAGATTATTAGGCTTTTTCCCACAGAGTTGTTTAAGTTCTTTATATATTTTGGATATTAATCCCTTGTCAAATGGATAGTTTGCAAGTATTTTCTCCCATTCTGTGGACTGTCTCTTCACTTTGTTGATTGTTTCCTTTGCCATGCAGAAGCTTTTTAACTTGATATGATCCCACTTGTCCATATTTGCTTGGTTGCCTATGCTTTTGGAATATTATTTCAGAAATTTTTGCCTAGACCAATGTCCTGAAGATTTTTTCCAATGTTTTCGTTGCGTAGTTTTGTATTTTGATACCTTAGATTTGATTTGTGTATATGGTGTGTGTATATGGCATGCAATAGGAGCATAGTTTTATTCTTCTGCATATAGACATCTATTTTTCCCAGCACCATTTATTGAAAAGACTCTCTTTTTGCCAATATGTGTTCTTGGCACCTGTGTCAAAAATGAGTTCACTTTAGGTGTGTGGATTGTTTTTGAGCTCTGTTATGTTCTGTTGATTTATATATCTGTTTTTATGCCAGTACCATGCTGTTTTAGTTACTAGAGCTCTCTAGAATAATTTGAAGTCAGGTAATTTATTCCTCTGTTTTGTTCTTTTGCTTAAGATAGCTTTCATTACTCTAGGTCTTTTATGGTTCCACGTAAATTTTAAGATTGTTTTTTCTATTTCTGTGAAGAATATCATTGGGATTTTGATAGGAATTGCATTAAAGCTCTAGATTGCTTCAGGTAGTATGGACATTATAACAATGTTGATTCTTCCAATCCATGCACATGGAATATTTTTCAATGTTTTGTGGCCTTTTTAGTCTCTTGTATCAGTGTTTTATAGTTTTCATCATAGAGATCTTTCACTTCTTTAATTCATAGGTATTTAATTTTGTTTGTGGCTATACTAAATGAAACTACTTTTTAATTTTTCAGATTGTTCACTGTTTTCATATAGAAATGCTATTACTTTTTGCATGTTGATTTGTGTTCCACAACTTTACTCAATCTGTTTATTAGTTCTACTACTTTTTTGGTGAAGCCTTTAGGTTTTTCCAAATATAAGATTGTATCATTTGCAAACAAAGATAATTTGACTTCTTCCATTACAGTTTGGATGCCCTTTATTTTTTTCTTTTGTCTGATTGCTCTAGCTAGTACTTCAGTACTATGTTTAATAACACGGATGAAAGTGGGCATCCTTGTCATGTTCTAGATCTTAGAAGAAAGGCTTTCAGTTTTCCCCATTCAGTATGATACTAGATGTGCATCTGTTGTATATAGCTTTTATTATGTTGAAGTATGTTCCTTTTATGCCTAATTTTTTAGGGTTTTTATTATGAAGGGATGTTGAATTTTATCAAATGCTTTTTCAGCGTCAATTGATATGATCATGATTTTTGTCCTTCATTCTGTTGACATGACGTCTCACATTGATTGATTTGCATATATTGAACCATACTTGCATCCCAGAGATAAATCCCTCTTGGTCACGAAGAATCATCTTTTTCATGTGTATTGTATACAGTTTGCTAGTATTTTATTGAGGAAATTTGCATCAACATTCATTAGATATATTAGCCTGTTGTTTTCTTTTTTTGATGTGTCTTCGGTTTTGGTATAAGGGTAATACTGGCCTCATAGAATGAGTTTGGAAGTATTACCTTTTCTTTTATTTTTTGGAATAGTTTGAGTAGGATTAGTATTAGTTCTTCTTTAAATACCTGGTAGAATTCAGTGATAAAGGCCTCGTGTCTCAGGCTTTTCTTTACTTGGAGACTTTTTATTATTGCTTTGATATCACTATGTGTTATTGGTCTGAACAGGTTTTGGATTTCTTCATGGTTCAATCTTGGCAGGTTATAGGTGTCTAGGAATGTGTTCAATTCTTCTAGATTTTTCAATTCATTGGCATATAGTTGCTCATAGTATCCATTAATGATTCTTTAAATTTCTGCTGTATCAATTGTAATGTCTTCTGTTTTCATTTCTGATTTTATTTATTTGAATCTTCTTTTTTCCTTAGTTAGTCTGACTAAAGGTTTGTCAATTTTAACTTTTTTTAAAAAAAACTGACTTTTTGTTTCATTCATCTTTTATATTGTTTTATTCAATTTCTTTTATTTCTGCTTTGAATTTTATTATTTCTTTTCTTCTATTAATTTTGGGTTTGGTTTGCTCCTTCTTCGCAAGTTCTTTAAGATGAATCATTAGGTTGTTTATTTTAAGTTTTTCTTCTATTTTGATGTAAGCACTTTTTGCTATAAACTTCCATTTTGGTACTGCTTTTGCTGTATCCTGTTAAGTTTTGGTATGTTGCATTTCCATTATCATTTGTTTCAAGAAACTTTTCAATTTCCCTCTTTTTCTTCGTTGACCCACTGGTCATTCAGGGGTATATTGTTTAATTTCCATGTATTTGTATAGTTTCATTTTATTGTGTATAGTTTTATTCCACTGTGGTCAGAAGAGATGGTTGATACTAGTTCATTTTCTTTTGAATGTTTGAAGACTTGTTTTGTGACCTAAAATATGGTCTACCCTTGAGAACAATCTATGTGCTGAGAAAAAGAATGTGTATTCTGCAGCCATTGGATGAAGTTCCACTTGGTCTATAGAGCAGATTAAGTCTGATGTGTCTTTGTTGATGTTTTGTCTGGAAGATCTATCCAATGATGAAAGTGGAGTGTTGAAGTCTCCAGCTATCATTGTATTGGAGTCTCTCTCTCTCTTTAGCTCTATATTTGTTCTATTTATCTGGGTACTCCAGTGTTGGGGGAATACATATTTAAAATTATATTCTGTTGCTGAATTGACACCTTCATCACTGTATTGTGACCTTCTTTATCACTTCTTATAGCTTTTGTCATGAAGTCTATTTTGTGTAACTACTCGTGCTCCATACTGGTTTCTGTTAGAAAGGAATACTTTTTCCCATCCCTTTATTTTCAGTCTATGTGTTTATTTATAGGTGATGTGTATTTCTAATAGATAATAGATCATTGGCTTTTGGATTTTTAATCCATCCAGCCACTCTGCATCTTTTGATTGGAGAGTTTAATCCATTTACATTCAATGTTTTTATTGATAAGTAAGCACTTACCCCTGTCATTTTGCTATTTGTTTTCTGTTTTTTTTTTTTTCTTGTCTTCCTTTCCTTCTATTTTTTTCTTCCTGTCTTTCCTTCAGTGGAAGTGATTTTATCTGGTAATGTGATTTAGTTTCTTGCCTTTTTTTGTGTGTGTATCCCTTGTATGTTTTTTGGTTTGAGGTTACCATGAGGCTTGCAAATATTATCTTATAATCAATTATTTTAAGCAGATAACAACGTAACACTGTTTGCATAAACAAACAAGCAAAAAGAAAACTAATAAAAATTCTACTACTTAGCTTTGTTTAGTTTTTGATAGGTTCATTGTTTAATCTATTTAGGATAGAAGTAGTTTACACACCACAGTGACAGTGTTATAGTATTCTGCATTTTTCTGTGTACTCACTATTATTAGTGAGTTTTGTGCCTTCAGGTGAGTACTCATTGTTTATTAACATAGTCTTTTTTCCTACTCCTTGTAGCATTTCTTGTAGGACAGGAGTGGTATTGATGAAATCCCTCAGGTTTCATTTGTCTGAGAAAGTCTTTATTCCTCCTTTATATTTGAAGAATATTTTTCCAAGATATACTATTCTAGGGTAAAAGTTTTCTTTTCTTCAGTACTTCAAATATGTCACACTATTCTCATCTAGCCTGTAATGTTTTCATTGAAAAGTCTGCTGCCAGATGTATTGGAGTTCCATTTTATGTTACTTGTTTCTGTTCAGTTGCTGTGCTTAGGACCCCTTCTTGATCTTTGAAAGTTTGACTATTAAATGCCTTGAAGTAGTCTTGTTTGGGTTAAATCTGCTTTGTGTTCTATAACCTTCTTGTACTTGGCTACTGATATCTTTCTTTAGGCTTGGGACGTTCTCCGTTGCTATCCTTTTGAATAAACTTTCTACCCCTACCTCTTTCTCTACCTCCTCTTTAAGGCCAATAACTTATATTTGCCCCTTTGAGGCTATTTTCTATATCTTGTAAACATGCTTCACTGTTTTTAATTTTTTTCTTTTGTCTCCTCTTACTGTGTATTTTCAAATAGACTATTTTCAAGCTCACTATTTTTTTCTTCTACTTGATCAATTCTACCATTAAAATACTCTGATGCATTCTTCAGTATGCCAATTGCATTTGTCAGCTCCAGAATTTCTGCTTGATTCTGTTAACCTATTTCAATCTGACTGTAAAATTTATCTGATATAATTCTGAATACTTTCTATGTGTATCTTAAATTTTTTTGAGTTTCCTGAAAACAGCTGTTTTGAATTTTCTGTCTGAAAGGTCATATATCTCTGCTTTTCCAGGATTGGTCATTGGTACCTTATTTAGTTCATTTAGTGAGGTCATGTTTTTCTGGAGTGTTTTGATACTTGTAGATGTTCATCTGTGTCTCGGCAATGAAGTTATGTATGTATTGTAGTCGTCACAGTCTATGGTAGTTTGTACCTGTGGTCCTTGGAAAGACTTCCCAGATCTTAAAAATTTCTTGGGTTTTGTGATCTAAGTTATATCTGCTTTAGGGAGCACCCCAAGTGTAGTAACACTGTGGTTCTCGCAGACTTGTAGGGGCACTGCCTTAATGATCTTAGACGAGATCTGAAAGAATTCTCTGGATTAACAGGCAGAGATTCTTGTTCTCTTCCCTTACTTTCTTCCAAACAAATGGGGCTTCTCACTCTGTTCTGAGCCACTTGAATCTGGGGGTGGAGTGACACAAGGACCCTTTTGGCTACCACCATTCTGTTCTGGATCTGACTTGAGGCCAGTACAGTGCTGGGTCTCACCCAAAACCTGCTGTAACCACTCCCTGGCTACTGCCTATGCTTTCTCAAGGCCCTCAGGCTCTGCAATTATCAGGTGGTAAATTCAGCCAGGGCTGTGTCTTTCACTTCAAGGCTGTGAGTTCCCTAGGACCTGGGTGGGTACAGAGGTGCTGCCCAGAAGCCAGGGACTAGAGTCTAAAATCTTAGAATTCTATCTGGTGTTCTATTGTACTGAGGCTGGGCTGGCACTCAAGCCACAAGACACAGTCTTTCCCACTCTCCTCCTCACTTTCCAAAGGCTGAGGAGACTCACCCCATGGCCACTGCCACCACAGGCCACAAGGAGTACTGCCAGACTGCCACCTATGTTTCTTTAAGTCCCAAGGGCTTAACCTGTGGAAATAGCTGTGGCAAATGCTGCCTGGCCTGGGACTTACCCTTCAAGGCACTGGGCTCCCCTCTGGCAGAGGACAGGTCCAGAAATGCCATCGAAGAGTCAAGTGCTGGAATCAGGGGCCCCAAGAACCCACTTGGTCCTCTACCTCATTTTGGCTGAGTTGGTACATATGGTGAAAGACAGAGTCCCCTTTATTTTCCCTCTTCTTTTCTCAAACAGAGGGAGTCTTGCCCCATAGTCACCATAGATGGGAATGTGTTGAGTCTCACCTGAAGTCGTATGTCTCAGAGTTTCACCCAAGGCCCTCGACTAGTACCTAGGTATCACTGCTGGTTATTCAAGGCCCAAATACTCTTCAGTTAACAGGTGATGAATGCTGCCAGGACTAGGTCATTCCCATCAAGGCAACAGGTTCTCTTGTGGCCCAGGTTGTATCTAGGAATATCATATGGGAGCTAGGGCCTGGAAAGGTGGCCTCACAACTCTGACTAGTGCCTTGTCCTGCTATGGCTGAGCTAGTATCAAGGATGCAAGATAAAGTCCTCCACACTCTTCCCTCTCCTCTCCTCAAGCAGTAGGGAGGGATCTTATTAGAAGCCATGAGCTGTGTAGCCTGGGGTTAGAGGAGGGGTGATGGCAACACCCCCTTAGCCCCACACTGACTGGTGTCTCAGGAGGTTGCATGTCCCTTCAGTGGTCTGGCTACAGGCCCAGTTCAGCACTAGGAGTCACCTGGAATTGCAGCCTAGAATGCCTTTCAAGTTTATTTAGAGCCCCAGAGCACTTTAGTCTGTAGTGGCAAGGCCTCTGGGAACTCAAGTTCTGACCGCGGGATCAGCAATTCCTCTCTCACTAGGGCTGGTTTAAATGCTCTCTCTGTGAGCTGGTGGCAACTGAGTTTGGTCCAGTTTTTCTTTCTGCTATAGTAGCACAGCACTGACTTCAATGCTTCACAATTGCTGTGCTCTCCCTCCTCCAGCATACAGAAGTGTGCTCTTCCTTCTCCAGTGCACGGAAACACTCTCCACAGCAAACTGCTGATTCTGGGAAATAGAAGAGGGGGTGGTGAAAGCAATTCAAGACTGTTTTTTTGTTCCTCTTTCAGTCAGTGATACAAAGTTAAAACCAAGTACTCTGACTGCCCACCTGATTTTTTGTTCTTGTAAAGGTGCTGTTTTTGTGTAGATAGTTGTTAAATTGGTGTTCTTTTGAGGGGGTAGGGGAATGATTAGTGGAGCCTACTGTTCCCTGATCTTTCTCCACATCAAGCTCACTTATTTAGCACTTAAATGAAAGACTTAATGTTTTGAAATCTTCTACTTGATAATAGCTGCAATGTATTGAGAGATTCCTCTACTTCAACCAGGTTAAGCTCAAAGATACAGAGCCAGCGAATGGCAGGCCTAGTATCTATACCCAGCTCTGACTTCAAAGCCTACACTCTATAAAACACCTTCTAACAGATAATCTAAATTTACTCACTAGAAAATAATTATTTTCCCATGTTTATTAATCAAGGGTATTTAATTTTCCATTAGGTGAATGCAGCTAATATTTCCGTAAGAGGTTGATAGAACTGCAGTACTAATGAAGAAAGCCTGACCCATTAGCTTTTACGTCTCCCTATAAACAACTACATTATTTTTCTTCTGCCTTTGATAAAATTTATATTGCTTTTCCTATCCCTTTATTTGCACATAACCCTAAGTATCTAGTTATTTGGATGGGAAGCCAGTATTTCTGGAGTTATGCTACAAACATCCCCAAAATCTCAGTGCCTCACAATAAACAAGTTTAATTCTCACTCATAGACCATACGAGTTGTGAGTCTATTTCATTTTCATTTATCCTGAGGCAAGATAGGGTAATCAGTTTCTTTCTGGGATGTTGTTAAGCTTGTGGCCAAGAGAACATTCAGTAATAGCAGACTCATGAAATGGCTTCTCACCCCTCTGCTTGGAAGAGGCGTGCTCACTACTGCCAACATTTTATTGGCTGGAATAAGCCATGTCACCTCAAATAACTCTAGTGGAATGGGGAGCTTTAATCTCCCCACTAGAAAGGACACCACAAAATTATAGGGCGAAATCATCTATCAGCCACTAGGTAAGGGACATAGGACAGCAAACATTTGATAGTAGTGATACAGGATACTGGAAACATTTTAAGTACTATTTAGTTTCCACTGTATAAATGAAATAACTTATTTTGTCTATTAACCAATGGAGAGATAGCTATATTATTTTGCATTTTATTGTTACAAACAGTGCTTACAAATCTTTCCTTATAGGCATTCACAAGAGTTTCTCTAAGATAAACATTTAGAAATGCAGCTGTGGGTAGTAGTTTCATATGTATCTTCTACTTCAGTAGATCTTGCCAAAGTTTCTTCTAAAATGTTTAACTTTATCCTCTTACCTGCAATACACAGGAGTTTCAGATTCTCTACATAAAATGTTTCTATATGTGCTGTTACTAGGTTTCTTTTAGAAATAAATGTTATAGAATGTTAAATCTGGGTGACAGTGACTATTCATTCTATTTCTTTTCTGTATATTTAAAATTTCTCTTAAGTGCTAATCAACTTAATATTTAGTAAGAGTATTTTTAAATAAAAATAAAATAAAGAGCAGCCATAGAAGCAAATCGTTGTGAAGAATTCCTAGAAGTCTCTTTTCATTATCTTCTGAATCATTAAATGATAATAGATATTTTCTTCTAAATGTTCAGACATGCCCTTCTATTATTTCCTCCTCTGTTTGCTAAGCATTTCTTCAAGTACAAATATCCAATAGAAACAAAAAAAGACTATTTCTTTGCTGTTTTACACTACTTAAACTACTACTAGATAGAGAAGAAATTGATGCCCCTTTTTCCATGTTCCTTGGTCACCTGTGCTACTGGAGTGTGTGCACAATTCTGGGGCATATGTCAGTTTTTTTTTTTTCTTCTTTAAGCTTATGCATCTCTCTGCCTGAAGACTTCTTCTGACTTTAGAAGTATGCTCAACAAACAAGTGGCAGATTAGAAGTGCCAGGATGTCAATGTTCCCAAAAACCACCCTCAACCAATTGGCAACAGCTCTCCCAGATTCCTGAGACTCTGCAGGGAGAGTGTTCTAGAATCTCTCCAAGTGTTCTCTGAAGGATTGAGCCTCAGTGGTCCATGGTGGTGACCTGCCCATTTCTGTACCCTTTTTGGTCTTCCTTTGTCAAATTTGTCCTAACATGCATTAAAGTTTCTTCATGAAGACAAATATACCTGAGAACTGACTGCCTTTTAAAACGTTTATGACATTTAATTAAATGGGGACTAAAGCAAAATACTTAATTTAATAAGAGCTAATCATTATAGATATTTAATATACTAAAATTAATTTATATTTATAAGTGCAAATTATTGAATTTTCATAAAAATAATTTATTTTAAACAAACTTAGAAAGTTGAACTTCACATTCTAAAAAATACTGTGCCTTTAAATTTGCAGCCTTAGTGAATAGAATATCATTTATAACTCAAATTATTAAGAAGCTGTTTCCATAGAGTAGTCTTCCTATAGACTTAAAATAACTCACATTCATACTTTTCAGTGAAAATGCAGAGGTAGAATAGATTTTTTAGAACAGGATTAATGAGAAGTATTTTATGTTATTTCATTTTAATAGGGTAGAGGCAACATAGATGTGTTTAAAAAAGGAAAATGATATAGTTTAACTCTGTATCCTCACCCAAATCTCACCTTGAATTATAATGATCCCCAAGTGTCAAGGGCAGGACCAGGTGGAAGTAATTGAATCCTGGGCATAGCTTCCCCAATGTTGTTTTTGTGATAGTGAGTTCCCATGAGATCTGATGGTTTTATAAGGGGCTTCCCCCTTTGCTCAGCACTCATTCTCTCTACTGTTGCCCTGTGAAAAGGTGCCTTCCACCATGATTGTAAGTTTCGTGAGGCCTCCCTAGCCATGCGGAACTGTGAGTCAATTAAACCTCTTCTCCATAAATTACCCAGTCTTGGGTATTTCCTCAGAGCAGCGTGAGAATGGACTAACATAGAAAAGAAAAAGATGACAGAGAAACAGAGATTGAAGACACACACACATGCGCACACACACACACAGACACACACAGACTCTTTTCCCTATGTGATAAAAATATAAAATAAATATTTTTGAATGAACAGTCAGTCACTGTATCTGCATACAACTTTTGAGGAAGCATTGACCTAACTGTAATAGGAGATGACAACTTAAGTTAAACTATGAGTGGAAATTCTGATTATTTTATCTTTGTGACTGGAGCCTACCATACTGGATGCTGAAAAACTCTTAGTGAAATTGTTTTGATTATCTGAAATGTTGCATTACTCAGGTTGATCATTCTGAGAGTCATATTTTATATTCTTATATAATCTAGAGGTATGGAAGCAGTAAGACAGATGATTTAAAATACATTGATCAAGAAAGTAATTTAAAATAAAAGAAGAATCTCAATAACTTATTGGTACTTATGTCACATACACTAAGCACAAAGCAAAGCAAAATTTATTTCACTGATTTTTATTTACTAAAGGTATATTTTCTCCATGTGATATATCTGCTAAAAATAAAAGAAGATGTTAAATTAGATAGACCATATAATTGTCTGACATTATCTTCCCAGGTAGCAAGAGTGTATCTAAAAACATTTTTTTCCCCTTTTCTATACTTCCTTTTTTACCAACCCTCTCCCCTTCTCAGTCAGATGAAACCACACTACCTCAAGGAAAATTAGGTTTGTTAAAACAAAAGAACAAAGAGAAAGGCAGGTTTTTTTGTTTTTTTGGTTTTTTTTTTACCTCCAATACATGCTCCTGAGAATCCAAAGAGAAGGCCCTGGTGGAACTGAGTATGGAGCAAATAGAGAAAAAAGGGGAGAGGTTGAAAAACCTGCCCTAGCTGTCCCCCAAAACCCAATGCATGAGGCTTACCCAGGTTGAGAGAGCTCATGCACAACCTTAGGAAGGTGTTGCTCAAACACTAGCATGTGTTAAAATCACCTAGATGACTTGACAAGATGCAAGGTTTAGTCAACCTCCGAGTTTCTGAAGTAGATCTGGGGTGGGGCTCAATAATTTGCATTTCTAATTAGTTTCCAGCCAATGTTGATACCGTTAATCTATAGACCATGACTTGAGAACTAGTGATTTAGGAGAAGGAGGAATGGCCTAAAGTCAAGAAAAGGATTTAAAAAATCAACTTCCAGATGAAGACTTTATAATGGCTTGCTCTGGAACGCCATGTAAAAATGCAGCCAATGCATACAGAATATATCACAGCTGATTAAATAAGAATTTATATCATCTGGCAAGAGAAGATATTCTCTAGGTCCCTGGGAATTAGGGCTCATCAAAGTTGCCAACTGCTAGCATTTGGTTATTTTAGTAAAAGTACTTGGCCATATGCTGTAATTTGACTAAATCCCATGTAATCTCTTGGGAACCCACTGTTTTTAAGGATCTAAATTAGTTGAAAATACCTGAAAGCAAAAAAAAAAAAAAAAAAAAAAAAAATGAGGCTCTTGATAAACAGACATATCAATACCAAGGTGGAAAAGAAAGTCTCAGCACCATATTCGGATGCAATTAGATGTAGCAAATTACCTCCCATTACACTCCAAGGCTCCATTCATGCCTTACATACTCTGATTCTGTATCTTATTTGTAAATGTTCCAGTCAACCTCTTCTCCTTATTCATGATTTTCCTTAATCTTTTCTTATCTTTTTATAAAATCTACTCCTCTCTGGCATTAGCTAGAACCATCCAAATGTCCTGTAATAAGAGGATATTTAGCAGTGATTAATTCCAATAGCCATCATTATTTCCCATGAATGTATTTTGAAGTTTTTCTGTATCCTACTGCATCTTTTTCTTCAAAGTTCATATTAGCACAGAGAGGATGCTGTTAAATATTTTCAAGACTATGGTGTCCAACATAGTCTTTTGATTATTATCCAAACATCCTCACCAGTCTTGATCTTCAGGAAGACACAATCAACTCACTGCTGCTCCACAGATGTAAAATAACAAGTTATGCCAGGGAAATATCCATGCTGGTCCATCTGGAACAAAATGTAAACAGAAAATCTACGTTTCATAACATCTCCTTCCAATCATATGACAACTTGGATCTGGATTTAACATGTGGACATCAGGCAGTGAATAAACCCTGATGGCCTATCTGGCAGTCATCGTCCTGGATAAAGACTGGGAGGAAAAACAGGCCATGAGGAAGCTGTACTATGTCAGAGCTTAGCCCACCCTTTAACCTGGGCCCATGCCATGCAACTTGCATCCAAAGGGAAAGCTTGGTCCTGCAAAGAACCTGGAATAAAGAGAATAAGCATATCTCGATTTGTACACATATTCATGACTTCTGCATGGGGTAGGTTATTATCAGTCTGATTAAGGACCAAGCCATGTTGAAGATGAGATACACTCTAAAATTTGTGGTCCTTATGCAGCTTTTTGGGACTACTGACATTGTAATTATAATATTATCTGATCAGGCCATACAATTACCAATGGTCTGAGGTATGAGGCAATGTAAAATCTTTGAAGTAGTTCTCTTTTCTGCAAATACAAAATGTTGTGAGAAGAAAAGAAACTTTCTAGGTGATAAATGCCATCCATCTATTGGTAAACAAAGTTTGTATGTGTGTATATGTGTATTACTGCATAACTCATCACTCAATAAAACAATACGTATATTATTATGTTCATGGATTCTGCAATTCAAAAATTTCAAAAGAGCACAATGATGATTTTGTGTTTCTGCTTTGTGATGTCTCAGGTCTCAACTGGAATCTTCAAATACTGCAGGTGACTTGACCACTGGGGGCTTGAATCATCTGAAGACGTTTATTCATTTGTCTCGAGGCTAATACTGGTGGTTGGTTCTCTACTGGGTTATTGCTTGAGCACCTACATAGGTAAGCTCATGGGTCTGCTTAGGCTTTCTCACATCATGTTGGTTGTGTTCCAAGAACAGGTGCTCAAAAAGAATCAGACAGAAGAGCATCACCTTTTAGGAATTAGCATTGGCTTCAATTTGGTCAAACTCATACACCACCCACATAGAATCCCCCCTCTCGATGAGAGGGGTGTCCAATCCACAGTCTAGGAGTGTGTGAGATGGGATAATTTTGCAGTGATCTTTGGAAAAAGATAACCTGTCAAGGGACCATCTCACTTCTCTGAGTCACACTTGCTTTTCACTATTTGGATGATTTTCTTCTCTTATTACAAAATGTTGGGACTGCCTTACTGTAGCACGTCATGTTTCACTCTGAAAACAGAATCCTTACTTCTCAAGTTTAATTTGCTTTGATGGACACAATTAAGATTCCACAAGACACATGCTGGATGTTGGGAATGTATCTTAATGGGAGAAGACAAGAGGCCTTTTTAGTAAGCAAAAAGAAATGACTCACTTCTGTTGGTCAAACATGAAAAATCTTTATGATTTATCTGGACCTGTGACCCATCCACTTTACCTTGGGCTAGGTGGAAAAACATACTTAAAATGCGGAAATTGGGTTAAAAATTGCTTTGTCTGACTGCTGCTAACAGTTGAAGAAAAAATATTTAATGAGCAAAGCAGTTTCTAAAACTAGAATCGAGTTAATTTGTGCCCAAATCTGCACCATTATTCGATAAGCCTGTATGTTTCATAGAAATTGAATACCTTGTCCATAAGAGGTTGCCTACTGCATCAGCTAACCCTGGTTCAATACAAGGCTATTTCCCGTATGGAAAGTTCTCTTGAAAACCCCAAAGGTCTCAAGATTCTGAACCTGGGGGTCCTAGGTAAAGGCTTTGGGCTTATTTGCATCTTTCTGTCTCTTTCCAAACTCTGCTAATGATTCTAAGGTCCCTCACCTTTCTGTGAACTTTACTAAAATGAGTGTGCCTGAGTGAGTTGGGCCCCTTTCCTGAGTTGCGCTCTCCTCTTTCAGCAGCCTAGGAGATGAGACAATGGGTTAATTGAGGTAGCTACCTGCATGCAGCTTCTGGACGAACCTATCTCTCTGTTGTTTTTGGATTATAGTCTAAGTAACTGCCTCAAAAATATTTTTTCTGAAGCTTTTGCCAATATTGCAATTTTCCACCAAAGATTTTGAGGAAAATGAAACCATCAGTGAATTGTTCATGAAAAAGCAAAACTAATACACCAGTAACTTTAATTATATTTTATAATGTATTCATATATGTTATATATATATAGCACTTATATAGATAACATTTATAAATATATATAGTACTTATATATATAACATTTATAAACATATATTGTACATTTGCCCTTCTTCCATTATGGTACACTCTCTAACATGTACCTTGTAGAATCTTAATGATGTGCTCCAAAGTAATTCATCCTTTAGAATTAAGGGTCCTATCTTCACAGTGGGAAAGGTCATGCTAAAATAAGGGTGTCTCTCTCTCTCTCTCTTCCTTTCTCTCTACATATACATATCATAAGGTGAGAATAGCACCCTCCTCTATGATGGGATGACAGTTAGTTCAAGGACAGTCTCATCAGTTAGGAAAATTAACTTCTCCCCTGTCTTCTAAAACAACTATTTCAGGAAGATACATACATTAAACCACTGTTCAGGAGGATATGGTCGTTAGACCTCACGTCTTTGCCTTCTTTCACTTTTAATGAGGGTGAACATTTGGATAATAGTACTGAAGATATAAACATTTCTATGATTTACAATAGAGGTTCTCAAACTCAGGGTGCACCAGAATTATTTGAGAGTTCACTAAAATGCAGATTGCTTCTGGGCGCTCCACTTTCAGACCACTGCTCTACAGCCTTACTACCCTAAGTATGGTCTGTGGACCGGCAGCATGGGCAGTCACCTAGGAGCTTGTGAGAAACAAAAGATCTCAGACTCCAACCTAGACATGGAAAATCAGGATCTGCATTTTAGCAAGAACATCAGGTGATTGGAATGTCCGTTTAAGATTGAGAAGAAGAAGCGCTGTTCTAGAATCGTAGTTTGTAGCCATTTCCTGCTGTTCCTATTTACAATTGTATTATAATATGTGCCTATGGTCATACCTATTGTTACAGGCAATTTCCACTGTACCCCACTTAAAATAGCCAAAAAAGTATATTCTGCATCCAAGGATTTAATAACACTATTAAAGTCATAATTATTCCCTAAAATTGTTTTAATATTAGTAACAAGTAGACCATAATATATCCCACGATTTTTTTTTTTTTTTTTTTTTGAGACAGAGTCTGGCTCTGTTGCCCAGGCTGGAGTGCAGTGGTGTGATCTTGGCTCACTACAACCTCCACCTCCCAGGTTCAAGCTATTATCCTGCCTCAGCCTCTCAAGTAACTGGGATTACAGGCATGCGCCACCATGCCCGGCTGATTTTTGTATTTTTAGTAAAGACGGAGTTTCACCTTGTTGGTCAGGCTGGTCTTGAACTCCTGACCTCATGATCCGCCTTCCTTGGCCTCCCAAAATGCTGAGATTACAGGCGTGAGCCACCACACCCAGCCCCACAATCATTATTAATACTATAGTTAAACCTACAAAAGGTCTGGGGCTCTCTTTTATTCCAGACAAGAGTTAAAAATAGTGGTGGACAGCACTGATTCATAAATGGAACTCAGAACAAGAACTTACAAAAGTAAAAAATAAAGAAGGAAATCACAGAAGTGTCTAGACAGAAAAGCACAAATTCCCATGTAGACTAGATTAAATCACGACAAAAATGAGCATCATTATCTTCATTATCCTATTAGATGGAATGTCCAACAATATCTCATGGCTAACTTAGCTGGCTCTACAAAAAAGAGAAAGATTCAGTTTACTGAGATAATTTGGAAACTATAGTCAAAATTTAAAAGCCTTTTAATACAAAATTTTCCTTGCTAGCATATGTTTTTATTTTCAAAGGACAGCTTCAGTGTAAATTCAATACAGCAGATACTTTTACAAATTTATGTAGGTATGTATATATGAGATAACAGAGTAAAATGTGTAATCCTAAACATTTTGCTTTAGGAACTAAAAGAAACACTATTCTATTGAATCAACTTACTACTAAACTTTAAAATATACATATTTAGGCCCAGTGTGGTGGCTCACACCTGTAATCCCAGCACTTTGGGAGGCCAAGGCAGGCAGATCACTTGAGGTCAGGAGTTTGAGACCAGCTCGGCCAACATGGCAAAACCCTGTCTTTAATAAAAATAAAAAAATTAGGCAAACATAGTGGCACACGCCTGTAATCCCAGCTACTTGGGAAGGTGAAGCAAGAGAATCCCTTTAACATGGGAGGTGAAGTTTGCAGTGAGCGAAGATCATGCCACTGCACTCCAGCCTGGGCAACAGAGCAAGACTCCATCTCAAAACAACAACAACAACAAAAAAACCAAAACTCCCTTATATTTAGAAGATGCCAGATGGCTGCTGAGCTCCCATGCATAATATTTCTTTTTTCCCCATGCCTTAATATTATAGAAAATAAAACCTTGTAAGTTAAAAAAAACATGGGAAACAGAAACCCTGAAATATTTAAGAACTTAAGAACATTTTATAATCCGATTAAGAGCAAAATCTCATCAAGTTAACAAATGAGTTAACAAATGAGTTAACAAAATCTCATCAAGTTAACAAACCCCATAGACATTTTAAATGTGAGTTTCCCCAAAAACTCTTGTGGAAGGGGTGCAGGAGTAGATCTGAAGGAGTAAGGATTAGGAACAGAAGAGAAAGTGTTGTGGGACAATTGGACCGCCGTCCCCATACTGCAACTGAAAGTGTTTTTCTTCAAGAGAAAATTAAGACAATGGTTCTCTAAATCAAGTTTCTCTACATTGATTTCTTTTACAATTTTTATATCCATGTGAATCCTATGAACATCTTACTGAAAGACATTCTGATTCACGAGGTCTGAGTTGATGCCAGAGACTGGACCTTTCTAACAATCTCCCAGGTGATACCAATGCTGCTGCAACATGGACTGCTCTTTGAATACCAGGGTCTACACCATCAATAACCAACTAGAAATCATAATGAGAGAACGCCATCCC